GTTCACAGGGGCAGACGTCGAGAAGCCGCGATATTACACAATGCATACGTAATGCGGCGATGCGGCTCCGGTGCGCGAAGTGGCGCGTCCATATCCGCCCGGGCGGATGTGCATCGCGGGAGAGCTCGTAACGCGAGACGTCGTACGCGACGGATACATATTAAAATATCCTGGGACATTAATGCAACAGCGTGCGGGGATAAATTCGACGACGTGGACGTTTAAGCTACCTGGTTCATATTCACGAGCGAGCGAGAATACGTCGAGCGTGAAACTGGAGAAAAAAGGCAGTTGGATCAACAATATTGTCGGTCCAAAGGACGCTTCCAATTGATTATTGTATCCATTGAATAAATAAGTTCAACAATAAGTTGCGTTGACATAGTTACCAATCAAATCGTACTCATTGAATCAATTGATATAACTCATTACCAAGCAACTCTCTAATTCGTTCAATTGGCTAAACGTTTGCTTCAACGAATTTTGTTCGTTCGAAGCAAAGTGTCTCGTTAACTCCACTGCCTTTTTTCTCAACGCAGAGTGTCAATCATAAATCTTTCCCCTAGTATGAAGAATTCTAATCTTGAAGACCTGTGAAAATGCTCACTTTTCATGAGCTTACATTGAAGGGAAAGATTCGTGATCTCCTCCAAGTATTGCGAAATTATTCACTTTTCATGATTTGGTACTAAGGGGACAAATTGATAAGTAAGATCGAGTTCACGTAAAAGGATTCATAATTGATGGGCAGGACTCGCGAGAGGGGATCCAATTAAATGTCCGATAGCAAAAAAATATAGAAGAAGAGGAGCCTCCCCGGCGAAATTTATCGGGGAAATAACGCCTTTCGCGCTCGTTATTACGCAAGGTCTTCGGGCCATTAGCACGGCGCAGAGCAGCGCAGTAACATAAAAAGTTACTGCGCGCCATAGTTTTACAATAATAACCGTAATGTGAACGGTAAATATCGATGCAACACGCGTCACGACCGAGATGGGCTATTTAACGTAACGTATTTTGCGCAACGTAACGCCACGCAACGTAATTTCGCTAAAATCATGCCGTACTTCCCGGACATGAGGATGAAAGCAGCTTCGATTTCGAGCTCATCTGGCGCACAGCAGCCGTAAGGTCGTCGTCGCGGTGAAGCGCGTGTTTGTTTGTGCCCGGAGGAGAGATTTATTATGGTCCGCTTTGTCGCGTATGCACGTGCGCCAAAAATGTGTCATATTTGCACACGGAGCATTTCAAAGGGGATAGGTATCAAAGTCGCGTCCATTATTCGAATGGATGCCGTTGAGCTCGCCGACGTGCTCTGTCAGTCCCTTTTCCTTTCGCGCGCGCGTGAGTGTCTGCGACGCGCGATTCTCCCCCTCGATGTTAGCGATTTTCTGCGGTTTCGGTTGTCAGCTCTCCCGAGCAGTCGCGGCACGACGTGCGAGCTTTGATGCGAATGTGCAGCGCGCGAGGCTTGACTGTTCCTAAAGTTAGCCGGGCATTAAGCGACATCGTAGGGATGCACAATCTACGCAAAGGGGAAACGTGCCGCGGCTGCAGTTTCGAAGCTGTATATAATGGAAAGTTTTGCACTTTGGGCGGACCGCATGAACAACTGTTGTCTACTCGACGGAAAAATTTAATGGCTCGAATGTTGGCTTTGCGCCGGACGCCGCGACAACTCATCGGCGCGCGTAATCGCCGCTATTTGCGCCTTCGGGCGTAATTCAACATTAATTAGCAACGACGTACGCGCATGCGTCTCTTTCTCTTTCTCTCTCGCTACCTGATTTTAAAATGATAGTGGTAATGCAGCAGATAGATCATGTATTTTAGAACAGATACACAGACCATCTACTCTATCATATTTGATATGCAATGACTAGACAGTGGCTAGACCACAAATTCTATATTTCAATGAATAATCAACCAGTAACTAATTAGTAACGAGCTCGAAAATTTAATCTTCTGATTCAGGCCAGCCAGTTACATTTCTGCTCGGTAGTATTTCAGTATTTTCAGTATATCTTTCATATACACTCTGTACACTTGTATTTTAGAGGACACACTGCGATTTTTGAGTTTCCCTAGTGATCGAGAGACAACTAGACAGACAGACAGAGAGAGAGAGAGAGAGAGAGAGAGAGAGAGAGAGAGAGAGACAACGGAACATCGATCGGATGTAGCGGCTGTCCCGCGACAGAATTCAGATCGTAATGGCGCCGGCGCATTAAGAAACTCGGATAGAACAGTAGTTCGTAAAAGTAGTAAAAAGTGCACGAATGCGGCAGCTGTTTACCGCAGTGAAACGTTAATCGCGGGGAGATCGTGACGCAGCGAAAGGCGAAAGGCGAAGATAAAACGAAAATGGAAGGGCCGCGACGACAGATTCGTCCCAAGTTCGCTTGTCAGCAGTCAGATCGATATTTCCTGGCCTCGCGAACTTTTCCGCAGGACGCAAAGTAGATCGGCTGTCATTCCCGATTTGTGTTCCCTCGACCGATAGAGCTTCTTGCGACACACGAACTTCGCGATTACTTTACGCGGGATAGCAGACCGCGCTGACACACATTTCTGCAAATCAGTTTAAGTATTTCGGACTCTACTCCCCCTCTCCCCCACCTTCGGTAGTTCTCGCCGCGCGATTGCGGACTTTCCGGTGTTTGCGTTGTCTCGAACATTCGACGAGATCCGCCGACCTCTTCCCCTTGTTCCACCATATATTTCCGTTCGAATAACGTAAACGTTTCGAAACTTCGGACCTGGCGCCAACGCCATTACGGTTGCGCTGTATTTTTTATTTCTTCCCTCTTTCTTTTTTCCCCTCATAGCGCAGATACGTCTTGCATCAAGTCTTTCGAGCTGGAGAAGCCGACGTTTAACGACGTCGCAGACGAGGAATCTGCATGGGATGCCAAAAATTAAGTGTCTTACATTTTTAAAATGGATCTATCCGATAAGTTGGGGAGCTTTCCACCCTTCAATCCCCTTCCTCTTCATCCCCGATACGCTGCGCTCTCGTCGTTTGCGCTAAGAACATTAATTATCTGGAGGGAGTTTCTTCCCTGAGAGAGAGA